GGAAGATGAAGGCCGCGCCTTTTAAGGTCACAGGGAGGCGACACTTATTTAGAAGGACAGAAAGAAAGGTCAAATTTCTGTCCATGGTATTTCTTTTTTCTCAATTGAGAGCCACACTTTTCATGTTAAAGAATTACTTATGTTTTTTTATTTTTTTGTGTTTTTTTTTTTTTTTTAGAGACGGGAGTCTATGCTTATAGTATTGCCCAGCCTGGACATTCGAATCTAGGCTTCAATGATCCGTCATAGCTTCATGCCTCCTGAGTACAGCTGAGATACATAGGGCACACACTACCTTACAAGTGTTAGAATACGCCTTGCAAATGATCCAGCATTCTACTCCTAGGGTCGTGTACCACAAGAGAAATGAACACATTATGTCTCCGATACAGACTATATAACATAAATGTTTATAGCAGGCCGGCGCAGTGGTCGGATGCCTTGAATCTAGCCTCTGGGAGGTGGGGCGGCCAGATGCTCGACACAAGTCAGGAGTTTGAAGCCAGCGCCTGTCGAAGAGTGAGACCCTGTCTTAACTATAAATAGAAGAAATAATTCGTGACCAATAAATATATCGTAAGAAAAAAATTAGCCGCGGGCAATAAGTGGACGTAGCGTGTAGTCCCAGAGTATTGGGGAGGTTGAGGCAGGGAGGGATCCTTGAGCCCAGGATTGGAGGTTGCTGTGAGATAGGCATGATGTCACAGCACTCCACTCTAGCCCTGGGCACAAAGTGAGACGTCTGTCTGCAAAAAAAAAAACAAAAAAACGGAGAAAACTCTAAATTTTTGTAAAACAATTTACAGGAACAGTTTAACCAGAGATGCAACTGTATGATTCTGTATCGTCAATTCAAACAGAACATTTTTAAAAAAGCACATTTACGGCCATGAATCAAGGGACATGTAAACAGTAATTCATATTTGATGGACTTTAGCGAAGTGATTCTTAAATTTTTCTGGGGGGAAGTGACCGTTTTGTGGATATGTTTTAAAAGTAGATGCATGCCTGTTAAAGTACAATACTAAATGTTACTAGAGAAAATTCAGTGTTATTGTATATTTACTTCAAAGAATAATGGTTCTGGGAGGGGCATAATAACGTGTAACTACTAGAGGAAACAAGGTTTGGATACATGAGATGTAATTGTTGAGAGTAGGCGTTAGTGACTACAAGTGGGGTTCTTAGGCGTATTCTCCGCCTACTTTTGTGTGTGTTGAGGATATTTCCGAAATAAAAAGTTATTAAATTGTGAGTCAAGTGATTCAACTAATGATAAAGAAAATGAATTAAAAGAGTCAGGAACGAATAGCTGTCCTGCAAAAACAGATGCTAGTTGTGTGAAGGAGTAGAGATGAGTCACTATTCTGCCTTCATTCGTAATTTTCGTGTTTGTTAATATGTGTAGTGTGTATATATAATATACATTTCTCTGTGGTGTGTGTGATGTGAGACAAAGTCGTCACTCGTGTGTCGTCCGAACTAGAGTGGCGAGTGGAGATCATAGCGTAGGCTCCACGTGTAACTTAAACTCGCAAGGGCTCAAGCCAGCTGTGTTCAAGCCTCGCCAGAGTGCTAGAGATACAGGTGTGAGCGCACACGGTTCCGAATGCCCATGTTTTTTCTTTTTAATTTTTTTTTAATATTTAGGCATTCATGGATACGTGTTTAGATTATGATAGTTGCCTCATGTACCCGCTCTCCCCGCCTCGAGTAAGAGTAGCGCATGTTTATACTATTATTTTATATTTTATTATTTAGCGTTTATTTTAGTGATGGTGTTTTCTTTTTTTTTTATTTTCGCAATAATTATTGGTAGGTACAGATTTTTAAGGGTTTGCAATAGATGCTTCTCCTCCTCCCCCACAAGTCTGAGTCTCTAGCATGACATTCCCCCAGATGGCTGAATCTTATCATATATGTTAGGTGCTACTAATACACCGCCCCCTCCCACCTGCCCAGTACCCCTATTACTGTACGTGTACTATGCTGTGCCACCTTAAGGTGGCAGCCTGTCTTCAGTTAATACCAGTTTGCTGGGGGTATATGTGGTGCTTGTGTTTTCCATTCTTGGGAAACTTGTCACTTAGATAGTATGGGTTCCAGCATCATAACCAGGTGAAAATATAAGATGTGCTATATCCAGAGGCTCAAGCGATCCTCCTGCCTCAGCCTCCCGAGTAGCTGGGACTACAGGCATGCGCCACCATGCCCGGCTAATTTTTTCTATA